CATCTGACTTTAATTGTCTGGAACAGCAAGCTGTGGAAAGTCCTATAATGTCCTACCAATAGGAGGAAAAAGAGGTGGAAGTCTAGCCAGGAGACCACAAATGGCAATTACAAAATCATGGTAGGTTTAAATTCAAAATGTGTTTTCATTTGTGTATTTTACCCCTGCCTTTTATTTCTCTAAACTTGGCATCCACATAATATATATGCTTTACTAGAGGCTTCACTCAGATAATCTTTTGACTTAAAAAAATTAATACGTGCAGTAAATAATTCTTTTAAAATTACAGGTGAGTATTAGCATGATAAAATAAAGGTTTAACAACAATGGAACAATTAAGAAAACTACCTCCTAGAAGTTTATGTTTTAAAGTACAGTTCTGTACAAACAATACAGAATACATTTGGTTAGGTAACAAGATTTTAATTACATGACTATTAGAATAATAATAAAAAATCTTGAAAGACAAGATTTTATCAATTAACTATGTCATTACCTTATCTTTTAAACAATAACAAAAACCTCACTGAAACATTTGACCTTTGCTTTTTCTAAAATTACAATTATTTTGCAATATGCTCATTTTTCCAAAACAAAATCCACAAATACATATAGAATATAAATACTTAAATTGGTTTGATGAAAGTTCAATCACAAAACCCTCCAACTAATACTAAAATAAATAATTAAATATCTGGCAAGCTTACTCCAAATTCCACAGTAAAAATGATGTCTTTTTCATAACTCCTATAATAGCATTTTAATCAAGGTTAGTAACAGACTAGCAAATTTGTGAAAAGAACATTACTTTAAAAGTCAACTAGGATTTAAAACAATATAAAAACATGAAGATTTCACAACTTTTCTAGCCAGTCAACTTCAAAGACACAATTTGATTCAAGCGTTGTTGGCACGTTATTTCCAATCTAATTGAGAAAACACTTGGTTTAATAATGTATTTTAGGCTTTCTGTAATTTTTTGGTAAAGGAAGAAAAGAACAGGTGGAGTAGATTAGCCGAGACAAAGGTCTTATTTTCATCCCTCTATAAATTCAATCCTCCAAGACTTACTTTCTCTGCTCTTTAAAATGGCTACCACCCTGATGTACCATGCAAAAGAAAAAATATACAGCATACTATCAAAGATAAATCTGGTTATTTTGACAGTTTATGCCCTCCTTTCCCACAAAATACTTTAAGATTCCCATTCCTTTACTGTTTAAATAAAATGACCATTAAGTACGTACCCAAAAGTTGGTCAGTTGTAGTAGGAGGGCAACCTATGTAACCCAGATTAGGTCATCTTTCCTACCATATAGTATCTTTCACAGACTAAGATCAAACACAGTAGAAATGAAAAAAGGATATATAGTAAAGGACAACAAATGTGGGAACCACAGCCCCGTAAGAGATTTTGTAGCTCAAAAGAACAGATTAACAATTATGTGGGTTAGCAAAAATTAAGCTTTTCATAATATTTCTAAAAAGCATTTTATAGATAATAAAACTACTTGATACCCCAAACCTATTTTTAACGTGAACATATGTTCAACAACTATTCTGAAAATATTGTTTACATATTACTATTATTTCCTACCCACTGTAAAACCATTCCCTAACTCTTGTTCTATAAAATTTCCCATAAAAATGCATTTTTCACATATAAAAATGAAAACAATATACAATGCTTTAGACTAATTTTGTGCATACATATAGCTACTAACTAGATTAACTTCAAATCTGTTGAATGGCTCCAGAAATATGACATGATCTTACCTCTCATCCTCGCCATCCACCAGAGGTGTCGTCAGCGGTAGCACCTTCAACGGGAAGAGAGAAGCAGAGGCTGCTAGGCTGCTGCTACTCCCATCTGAAACTGCTGACATTCCCCCACTGTCACCACTGATAGTCTGAGGTAAGCCAACTAAGGATGGCTCCGCTGGACGCCTGGCATCTTCAATTTGGCTTCCAATTGCCTGAGCTAATGATTGTGCAGAGAACTGGGTAGAACTTAGTGGTATCTGTTGTGCCAAAGGCAAATTTATATTAGTTGCTATCAAGGGAGGTTGACTAACACTTTGAACCAGATTACCATTTTGGGTGGCAGGGGTTTGTGCTATATTTTGTGGTGGAACCAAGTTTGTTGGGGCAGAAGGCATTCCAGAAGGACCAGTTGAACTAACCTGACTTGTAACAGAAATACTACTAGCAGAGGGCAAAGGACTAACTGCAGACAACTGCTGTGAAACAACTCCTTGAGCTACTGGTTCTACTCCTTGTGGCTGGGGAGGCATAGTTGTTAACAAGTTACTTTGGGGTGCAATAACCAATTGTTGAGGAAGGCTTGGAGCGCTAGTTTGAACTCCCTGATGAATAATCCCAGTTTGAGCAGATGTAACCACTTGCGAAGATGGAGGAGCACCTTGCTGAATAACTGCAGGTGAAACTTGGGTAGAGGGCTGCTGCACTGCAGTAGGTACGCTTGCTTGCTGACCAATACTTGCAATCTGACTGCCAGTAGGTACAGCGGACACTGCTGTCTGAGCCTGGCCAACCGGCTGGACAGATGCCCCTGCAGGTTGTGCTGGGACTGCTGCGGGCTGTACTGGCAACTGGATACTCTGTGGCTGAGCCACAGGAATCACCGTTGTTCCTACTCCCACTCCTGCAGAACTGGGCTGTGTGGAGGACACTGCTGTTTGAAGAATTGGCTGCTGTTGTACATACTCTGAAGCAGGATTTTGAGTCACTGATTTGACATGGCCTGGGGCCATCTGTGTAGAAACCATTGGTTGCTGTTGTCCATACTGTAACTGTTGGGGAGGTGGTGCCCCTGGAAGGGGAGTTTGCACTGGAGGAGCCGCCTGAGAATATGGTAGTTGGGGCTGAGCCAAACTGGAAATGGAAGGCTGCTGACCTAAAGCTGAAGTTACACCAACCACATTTACAGGCGATGGCTGGATACCAGTTGCAGCACTCATAGTGGCCTGCAGAGGTACTGGCTGAAGACCTTGCTTTTGCTGATAGCCCAGTTCTTGAGACTGTAATTGTACTTGTGAGATCTGTGACTGAGAAATACTCTGTGGACCAGTGCTACCAAAATCCATCTGTTGGAGGGTCACACCTTGGAGAGCTGGTTGTTGCTGTTGTTGCTGCTGCTGCTGCACCACCACAGTAGGGGCTCCCATCTCTCCACTTCCCACACTCTCTGTATAGTGACTCAGTGTGCTGACACTACTGCTCACTGAACTCCCACTAGTGCTCTCCCTTTCAGAAGTCACTTCTATCGGATTTTGCTTTACAGTCTCCACCACTTTATTTATCAGCACACCTTCTGTAGCAGGTACAGCATTTTCTTTTTCATAGAACTCAGTGCAAGTCCATCTACCTTTTTTAAAGGGCTCAGAACTAGAATCTAATTTCACAACTCTGAACCTCGAAGTATTAACTGTTGGTTGTTGCTGCTGACTTGAAACCAATCCCCCAGTCATCCCTGCAGCTGCATTAGGGACACTGCTAACAGCAGTGGAGGAGGAAATAGTACCATTGCCCATGCCACTCAAGATATTCACATTAACACCACTGGTAATACCAGGCCCAACACTCACACTAGCAGCACTAGGAATACTGCTTGCACTTATATTAGCATTACCAGGCATGCTGCTTGTCACATTAGGACTAAAACTACCCACAGCAGTAATGTTAACATTATTCACTGTATTAGTGCCAGTAACAGAATTTATACCTATTCCGCCTGTAGTACTTGGAGTACGCATATTAGTCATCATAGATGCAGGTGAACCACTGGATGATACAGCAGAAGTTGGTGCAACTGGTGTGATACTGTCAGAGCTTCCAGTTGTAGAAAGTTTTCTAGATACCGGGCTTGAGGGTGGCCCCCCAGGAATGGATGCAGTGGCCACAGCAGCATGAGATGGATGGTGCCCATGTTGGAGGTGGTGCCCATGATGAATGTGATGGTGGTGATGGAGGTGGTGTGGATGAGCATTCCCATTGATCACAACATTCTGTTGTGGAAGGTGAGGCAAATGAGGCTGAGGAAGATGGGGCTGGTTGGGAGAGACTGCCCCAGGTGTCTCGGCTTCCTGGAAGTTATTTAGGGTCTCTTCTGAGGAGCTGCGTTCGGGCTCCCCTAAGTCAGTAGCCCTGGAAAGTGACACATCAAGGATCTCCGAAGAAGAGAGATCTTCCGTGTGAGATTCATCCAGATCGTCATAGCTCTCAGTGTCCTCTGCTATACTGTTGTTAGAGCTGATACTAGCGGAGATCTGAGCCGGAGTAACGCTAGTTATCTGGAAGCCACTTTTCTTTTTCATTTGAGTTCCGCCTGGCGCAAGAGGCTGTGCCTGCAGCTGAGCCTGCGAAAGGAGGTTCAGGCTTTGTGGAGGCGGAGGCTGTGGTCCCGACGTAGAAGATGCTGCTGCAGGGGGCGGCGGCTGAAGCAGCGACGGAGGCGGAAAATCCTCGGAAGACGTGGCATTACTACCGACGCCGGTACCTGCTGCATTGAGAGCAGAGGCGCTGCCACTAGCGCTGCCCCTTCGAGGGAACATTGCCGGGTGCGCCATCTTCCTAGCGCTAATGTCTGCAGCGGCGGCGGCCGCGGCGGTGGACTCAGGCGGCTGGTGCATTGTGTTGGGTACCGGGGGGGCGGAGGAGGCGAATGCAATTTCCTTCTGCCCCGTAATCTTTGTATTCAAGACGCCGGAGAGGAAAACGGGACCTGACGCTCCGCCTGTCGCGATTCCTCCTTCTCCTCCTCAGCCGAAGGCGCCGGCCGCTCCTGCCTTCGAGGGCGAGCTTCGGAAAGGAGGATGAACGAGGGTGAACAGGGCGGCCGAGGACCCGAAGGGGGACCCCTTCAGTCCTTCGCCATTCACTTTCCCCTCTAGCCTCACACCCCCCTTTATATTCCGCTTCACGTGGGGTGTGGGGCAGGGGAGAGGGGGAGAGCGCAGGAGGGGGAGGAAAAGCGAGAAATGCCCACCTTCTCCGGCCAACTCCGAAGCCGCCTCAGCCCCCTCCTCCCGCCGCGGCGGCGGCGACCGCTGCAAAGCCCTCCCGGCCGCTCTGCACCGAGGCAGCGCGAAGCTAGAGTCGCCTTCCCCTCGCCACCCCCGGGGCCGCAGCCGCCAGCGAGCCCTGAGCTGAGTGTCGCTCAAACCTCCCCTCCCGGCCCCGCTCGGCCCTCCCCCCACGCCCCGCAGACCCTTTCAAACCCCCTGGGCTCGCGGCGGCTGCTCGGTGAGGAAACGCTGGCCGCGGCTGGGGCCGGGGCGGCGCGGCTGCGTGCAGGGCGGCGGCGGGGCGCCCGGTACGGTGAGCCCAGCAACGAGGCGCGGGCGGGCGCGCAGAGACGCCGGGTCCTCGCGGAGCACGGCCGGGGCGCGGCGGCAGCGACGGTGGCAGCGGGAGCCCAGGGACCGCTCCATCACTGGCAGCCATGGAGCCCGAGCATTTTCCTCCCTCAGGGCAGGCGCCTCGGCTCGGCACACGTCCTCGGAGAGGAAGGGGCCGGCGCCCGAGCCTCCCCGGAGGGCGGCGGGACGTGCGCTAGGGCGGAGGGTGCGACCCTCTCTTGTCCTCTTCCTCCGCAGCCGGCTCGTCCTCACCCCGCTGCTCCCACGGCCCGGCGGGAGGGGGCCGCAGGCGGCGGCGGCTCCTTTCTCGGCGGCGTTGGTGGCCAGACGGGCTGGTGCAGCGACTGCAGCCGACGCCGTTCAAAGGAACGAGAGGTGGGGTTGGTCGGTGTCGGCAAACGGGGCGGGGGAGTGGGTGGGTGCCGAGGGAGGGTGTCGGGCGGGGAGGGGGCTGTGGTGGTTGTTACTAGTGCTCTTCTCCGGCTCCCCCGGCTCCACCGTATCCCCCAGTCTCTCGCGGCTTCAGGAGGGGAGGGACAAGCGCCGAGCGCAGGAGGAGGAGGGGCGACCGCCGGCTAGAGGAGGCGACGGTGGCGGGGGGAGGGGGCAGGCGGAGAAGGAGGAGGAGGGAAGATGGCGTCTGCGCATGCGCCTAGGCGCCGCAGACATAAAGCCGGGTCTGGCGGGGCGGGAGACAGCGGGTCTTCGGGCCTAGGCGAGCGCCGGGTCTCTTGACGGAAGTTGCCGAAGGCTGGCGGAGGCGCCGAAGCCGGGAGTCGTGGAGCCGGAGGGGTTGGTGGGGTGGGGAATTTCGGCCGAAGGAGCGAATCCGGGTCGGACTACGTGATTCGGCCCGGTGGGGGTGGGCAGGCGCGCGCTCAGGTTAGGTGTGTCCGCTCTTTTCACATTCGTGGCCGGCGCGCGCGGGCACGCGGGAGAGGAGGGGGCGCGGCGCGGAAGGGCCGGCGGAGGCGGCAGGAGCGTCGGCGCTCGGTGTGCGCGCCCTGGGTGGTGTCCCCGGCCTGCGGAATGGGTAATGAGGCTTTTCTCCGCAGCAACAGCATCACGAGTTTCAGTTCCCAGGAGCCCGCTACTGCCACGACGTGAGTCAGGCTTTCTTCCCCGGCGCTCGGCGGAAACCTCCGCCCCCTTGCAGCACCTGGGCTCGCCCCCGGCCCTCGCCTCTTCGGGGGATGCCCCAGCGCCGGGAGCTGCGGGGTCCACGGAAGGCCGGTGGCTCCCGGTGATAGGTGTTGTCTTTTGTGCAGTGCAGTTGCTGCCATGCGGTCCCCTCGCCCTTCCACGGGCAGGGGCGAGGCGGCCGGGCAGATGTTGCAGCTGTTTCCAGTTAACTGAGCTCTGGGGTAGGCTCTAATCTAACGAGGAGTGGTTGCAATCCATCCTTACGTGGAGGACAGAAGCAGGGCCAGTCCAGTAAACCATTGACCTCAACAGGTGTCTCCAAGCAGCGACGCTTTTATCGTTCATTGTCCTGGTTATATTCCCCATTGGTTTGACTCAAGAGGCAAGGTGGCCCGGACATGTGGACAACACAAATGATAAATGAAGAATGCCTTTTAGGGCTAGAAAAGAAAAAGGCATCTGAAATTCCAGTTTTAAAACACACACACACACACACACATTACAATCCATGGGTCCGAGTGTAGTTCTACAGAAGCAATGTTAGGTTTGATTGGGGGCAATTTACTGGCAGTTACTTTCTTGGCATTTGATATGAAGACCTAGTTCTTAAGCATTTCTCACCAATCGAGAATGTACGTCTCTCCCAGGAATTTAAAAATGACAAAGCAACCCGAAAAACTGTAGGGAGGAATTTTCATTTTACTAAATTTGGGTTGTTGGGGGAATCAACGCTTATGATTAGACCTCTGATTCAGGAAATCTCACCGATTTACATTCCTATTTCAGGATATTGTTAAAGCAAAAACGACTGTCACTTGGAGAGTTTTGATACACCTCCAGTTGTCAATTAACTTATTACCTTTAGTTTTTTCTGAACTCTTCCCTTTGCTTTAAGGGTAAGCCTTCAAAAAGTGAATGTATTTCACTATTTGCATGTTATTGAATAGAAGTGCACCCTCAACATCCGGTCTATCGGGTATCAAAGCTGTAATACATTGTTGCTTTATCTGGGGTCTCCCTCACTGGAAAGAAAAACCAGGACTTTATTTTTTTTACTTTAAATTGCTAATGTAAACCTCTGTTAGAAGTAAATAGGCTCTCAAAAATATTCAAAGTGATACAATAATAAAATTCAAATATGTTTGAGAAGATCGTATTTCTTGTTTTATGATATTAATTTATGTGAATGGTTGTGGTTTTGTAGAACTATGGCTACTGGTGTTTTCATTAAAATATTTTTTAATTCTTCAACAGCTTTTGTTGCAAGTGATATGCCAGGTTTATCGCTGCCATCCATTGTTGAAATGCAAATCTGACATCCTATTTCAATAGTTTTTGAATGGAAAATAGAAACTACCCTAACCGATTGAAACTGCACTGGAATGTAGATGGGTGGAATGTCCTTTCTTTGGACTGCAGTAGGAAAGAAAATGCTCCTGATTTCTCAAACTGTAGCCTTAAGTCAAAGGGGTTTTTTGTTTTGTTTAAGTCAAAGTTGTGAATTACCCCCAAACAGCTGCCCTACACCCCTTAGGCCACCTAAATACTCACTATGATTGTACTGATATGGCTTGACACTTAATAAACACATATTAAAGTCTTATCCAAAGCTGATAGAATAAAAGAGCTGTTGAGATGATCCTATGAAGCAGATACTTGTTCTAATGACTAGCAAAGGGTACCGTTTGAGCTGTTTTGATGGGGAAGGAAGGGTTGGGGTGTTATTCCTTTTAAAAGAAAGGTTTTTAAAAAAATTCCAGAATTAACATAAGACATAAGGAAATAAGATATTTTGAAGTGTATTAATTTTTGCCTGCCACATCACTTTCAAACTCCTGCTTAGGCTGCATCAAGTCCCACTAAGATATAAAGAGCAACTCTACAATTAGGGAAATCCCAGTTTCAAAAATCTGGATCTCTCTTTCCCCATCCAAAATTCTTATGACCAGCAATATACAAACACGAATTCATTAAAACAAGGAGAAGGCACCTGAACAGCCAGAGTTTGTTCTGCTATCATCTTTTAATTAAAAAGGTCTGAGTTTGTATTAAACACTAAATGCCTACTGCTGTGTATAATAAAGTCATTACATCACGCGTACATTACATTAACCACGTACTTACAGCTATCCTTTGCCTTTCAAAAGACCGAATTTTAGCTGTTTTCATTCTGAAGGTGTACCTCTGAATTGCCTTTCTTTTTTTATTTTTTCTTGAAACAGTCTTGCTCTGTCACCCAGGCTGGGGTGCAATGGCAAAATCTCAGCTCACGGCAACCTCTGCCTCAGCCTCTCAAGTAGCTAGGATTACAGACATGTGCCACCACACCTGGCTAATTTTTTTTATTTTTAGTAGAGATGGTTTCACCATGTTGGCCAGGCTGGTCTTGAACTCCTGACCTCAGGTGATCCACGTGCCTTGGCCTCCCAGAGTGCTGGGATTACAGGCATGAGTCACCGTGCCCAGCCTCTGAATTAATTTTCTACTGACTCAAAGATTAGCCTGTATTGCAGTGCTTACTTAAATCCAGTTGCAAAATAACAACCCAGCCTTATATATATTTCACCATGTTTAGTATTTACTGTACTGTAAAAATTACAAATTTGGGCTGAGCGAGGTGGCTCATCCCTGTAATCCCAGCCCTTTGGGAGGCTGAGGTTGGCAAATCACCTGAGGTCAGGAGTTTGAGACCAGCCTGGCCAACATGGTGAAATGCCCTCTCCACCAAAAATACAAAAATTATCAGGTGCTGTGTTGTGCACCTGTAAACCCAGCTATCTGGGAGGTTGAGGCAGGTAAATTGCTTAACCCGGAAAGTAGAGGTTGCAATGAGCTCAGATCTCGCCATTGTACTCTAGCCTGGGTGACAGAGTGAGACTCCGTCTCAAAGAAAAGAAAGAAAATTTGCTGAACATTATAACAAAATTTATCTATTTGTGAGTACTGCAAAAGGGGTCAATTAAAATCAAGTAATTCTCCAAAAGCAATGCCCCTGAAGAGCAAGAAGGGAATACGTACACTCCAAATGGCTGAGCTACAACAATAGATAACCGTTAAAGAGAAATGTATACAGAAAATATGCCACTGTTCCGCTCCAGTAATTATTCTGGCTAACCAGTGCTTCCATCATGTAATGTTATTAATATTTACTTATAGCTTGTAGATGTCATCTGGGGAAAAAAAAGTCAAATGTTTAAACATGACTTATAAACGCAAAAAATCGCAGATTTTTACATATGAAGACTCTAATGCAAGGGGATATTGCGGTTTGTTTATTAATCAATTTGCTCTCTGAAACATTTTTAATGAGACCAGGAGTGTGCCATCACTATTGGTACACAAAATGCTTATTTCAGAACTTTAATGCCAATGTTAGTGAGTCAGTTTAGCTTATAACTGATTAATTTCAGCAGCATTTGTTAAGTTTTTCTTTTTTTTTTTTTTTTGAGACGGAGTTTCACTCATGTTACCCAGGCTGGAGTGCAATGGCGCGATCTCGGCTCACCGCAACCTCTGCGTCCTGGGTTCAGGCAATTCTTCTGCCTCAGCCTCCTGAGTAGCTGGGATTACAGGCAAGTTTTTCAATAGTATATTTCAGTTCAGCTAAAACAATTTTATATCCTTAAAAGAGATAATGTTTATAAAACAGAAAAGTATAGTTATTTGAATGTATGGTTCAGAAGGTACACTGATACACATTTGCTCATTTAATTCTACCCTTTGAGGGAGAAGGTATTATCATTCTCATTTTAGAAATGAGTAATCACAGGGAAGTTAAAAACTTTTAAATCTGGATACTCATGTCCTCTTAAATCAGATTTTATGCTTCTGTATTTAAGGGTTTTCTTAAAAAGTCTGAGCATTAGAGACAAGTATTTTTCAAAAATCTCTTGAAATTAATAAATGTTCTTTTGGTTTTTTTGAGTGCCAAAGAAGATATGCCATAGACACATTAATTTGAAACATTTCTTCTATATGAAGAGGATAAAAGACTTTTTCCCTGTTTGAACCAATGTAAATGTTATAGATTCGTCTACAGTCTTTTCTGATTTATAAATGTGTTAATTTGGAGAATTTTCTCACAACGTAAAACGTCTCTAATGTCTGCTACAGTACTGTGAAGTGACATTGAAAAAAAATTTATTAATTTACATATTTAAAGGCCATAAACAAATAGCCCTCCAAATCTCTCCAATGTTAGCTAATTTTATTTAATGCCTTCTGTATATTGC